ATGAGATGAGCCCCCCCCCCAGAGTTGGACATGACTAGACTTAATGTCAGGGGGAACCTTTACCTTTACCTACCCCTGGGAAGATATGCAATGATTGGAGCTGTCTGTTCCTGGAACCCCTGGAATAACCCATGCCAGCTATTTCTTATGAGCATTTCAAAAGCATCAGGATAATTGTTCCTGTAATTTTAGAACCGCAGAGGGATCATCTTCCTTTTTTTTCAGGATGAAGAAATATCTTAAAAGAAATTTCAAGGCACACCATTCTAATACAGTGCAACCCCTTTTTCATTTCACTGTCTAATGATTTCATTAGGGCTTAAAAAAAATAATACCTTTAACTTGCAAAAAATTGAATCCCATCTTTATGTGCTGCTTTGCCAACAAAAGCCTATTGGGAACAAAAGGGACTAACACGTGAGTATCCCCGCCCCAACATATAGAAAACCAGCTTTTGTAAATTTCTTCAAGGAGTTGATGGCCCTGTGACCCAGGGAAGATGGCAACAAATGAGTGAGGAGAGGCTGGGCATTCAGGATCACAATGTAGTTCATTGAATATATGGTTTCAAATAATTTGCTAATGTATCCTAATAGAGGGGACTTCTAAAGAAACATTTGTTCCCGTAAAATTCTTCAAGATTTTGTGGGATGCTGCAGAGAGGCTAGGAAGGAATACAGTTAGGCTTGTAATGAATCTCCTGATTGAAATGTGCTTAGATTCAAGCAACACAAGACTTCGTTTTTAAATCATTTCAAAACTAATTTTATTCTGCAATATTTTGATATGAATAAAAGAACAAAGGCCTCAGGAGCATATTTGTCTTTAGTTGTATAGTTTCCCAGCAGGTTTAAAAATATCTTCAGAGAACAAAAAGGGAGGGGGGATCACAAAAATTGCAGATACGTGACAGTAGAATATAGAAAAATTTAATAAGTTTACTACAAAAGCATAGTAGTGGCAAATTCCACAGATCCAATTAAAAAGAAAGATTTTACAGATCTTCTGAAAGGAGATTCCACCTGAACATGAGGAAGAACTTCCTAACTGTGAGAGCTGTTCAGCAGTGGAACTCTCTGTCCTGGAGTGTGGTGGAGGCTCCTTCTTTGGCTGGGTGGGTGGCCATCTGTCGGAGGTACTTTGAATGTGATTTTCCTGCTTCTTGGCAGAATGGGGTTGGAATGGATGGCCCCTGAGGTCTCTTCCAACTCTATCATTCTATGATTCTATGAAATGCATGAAAGGAGAACCCACTTAGAACTTTTCAATGTCATGATGTTGAGGATCTAGGTTGTGTTCCCAACTGAGTCATGAAGCTCAAAGGATGAGGAGACGACCTGACCAGAGCTGATCTTATGGCGTTGTTGCAAGGACAAAATTGAGAGGAGATGTATGCTGTTTTGAACTAATTGGCAGAAAGGCAAAATAATATAAATGTAACAAATAAACAAGAAATTCTTCAGTTCCAGAAGAAATCATTCCAAGAATGTTTTATTTCCCATAGTGTACTTTATAGATTGGTTGCCTTATGGCATATGAGTTGTGATGTGGATTACTGTGTTCCTACCCACAGCATATGTAACAAGTCTGTAGATTGGAAAACAAATAGATTTTCCAGTATTAGGAATAATCTTTTTTTTTAAAGATCACTCTGTGGCTGACCTTCAGCTGATACCAGGAGTTGATTCTCCTGCTGTTTCTTGGAGGTGGGGAGTGACAACAAGCAAGGTGTCTAGCTCATCACATTCCCCAAAGTGGTCTACACAGTGGGAGTTCTTTGACAGCCATGTTAACTGACTTAATTGGAATAATGTTCCTTGCTTCCCCCAAGGTGAGTAGACTTCTTAACACAGGACAGAAAGAAATTGAGGTTCTGAAGTCTAGAAAATCACATGAACCTATACCTGGCTCATGAAAAAAGCTAACCTTGAAGTATTCTTTTCCCTTTCTTCTTTTTTTAAAAAGGTTTTTCCACATCATGAAAGGGCAGGAAATAGTTAGCCATTTGTTTTTGCTCTTGTTATATCTTTGCTACCAGGTAAGAGGTGGTGCTCATGGGAATTTTTTGCTTTGTGGACAGTTTCAGAATAACTTGTCTGCTTTTGGATACTGTGCACCTTAACTTGAGTGAATGAAGAGGTAACATTTTTGTTCCACCTTGAACAGCAACATGCTTTAGGCCAGTGGTGGCGAACCTATGGCACGTGTGACAGAAGTAACACTCATGCCCACTCACTTGCCCGCTAGCTGGCCATCCGTTTGCCTGCTGCCCACTTGTCATCCCCTTGCTGGAGTCCCCGGTGGCACAATGGATTAAACCCATTGGACTGAAGACAAACAGGTCAGAGGTTCGAATCCAGGGAGAGTGTGGATGAGCTCCCTCTGTCAGCTCCAGCTCCCCGTGCAGGGACATGAGTGAAGCTTCCCACAAGGATGGTAAAACATCAAACATCCAGGTGTCCCCTGGGCAACATCCTTGCAGATGGCCAATTCTCTCACACCAGAAGCGACTTGAAGTTTCTCAAGTCATTTCTGATATGAAGAAAATTTTTTGCTCACACGTTTGTTCACCTGTTTGCTCGCCTTCTTGCCACCCCTCCATTCACCCCCCCCAAATGCCCCCTCCCCTCCAGGTTTGAGCGCATGGTTTCTAAAAGGTTTGCCATCTTTGCTTTAGGCTGTCTCTGCCCTTCTTCACATTACTTGCCCTTGCAGAACTTTTATTTACGAAATTGAACCTTTCCTGTGCCTGAGAAATATCTCCTGTGTTTCCTTGCTTTTTGAAAATGCCATTCTGTTTTTTAAGAAGGGTTTTTCTTGTCAAAGAGAGAAAGAGAGACATTTTAAAGTTCTACCATTCTCCAGGAAGAAAGATGGCAGTATAAAGAGCATAGATTTTCTGACATCTCTTACTCGAACTGAATTCAGCCAACTAGAGTGAACTCTATACTCTTTATGTCTATAATGTGAATTTGGCCATCTGGTTCCATGAATAAAGCTGAATATGCTGTTGTTCCCTCTCTAAGATGCATACCTCAGTGCAGTGAGAGGTCAGAAAGATTGACAATAATACTGCCAGAAGAAAAGATTCTGTCGTGACTTCTAGGCTTCAAGTTGCAGTGCTCAAACTAGAGATATCAGACTATGGGCCATTCATATCTTTCAAGAAGTGAAGATTGTAAAAGCAAAGGAGTGCTGATAATAACAGCAGAGAAGCTCCAGAAGGAAAGCTACTGAGCAGTACTAATAATGAGGAGTCAAGTACAATAGCCGCACCACGCCAGAAAGGTGATGGGAACATTGAAGGATTTGCAGCTGTTGATAGGCTTTAATGAAATCCCAAATGAAAATTGGGATACATGTTCATTGTGGAGAGGAGGCTGACCAGCAGCAGGGTGCTCATGGTGTCATGCAATAGGGGCCATCATTAAAGGTGATAGTCCTACTTCAGTGTCAGTTTGCCTCTCTCATGCGATAAAGTTCTTATCTCTGTTTTCTTGAGACCCACATTAAATTCTTCTTAAACATTTTGCTGTGTTTTGTATAGCTTAAACAGGTTTGGACTCAGCAGTATTTGTCAATTTTTGCTATCCATGCACATAATTATGCTTTCCCTCCCTAGAACCTATAGGATTCCTATAAGATATAAGAATCATGCTAGACAATGAGAAATTATCAATCTTGGTGTCTGGCATGTGCAGCACACGAAGCCTCCTACCACCAATTTTAGCATTCATTGTTGTTTTCCTTCAAGTAGTTTCTGATCTACAATGACTTTAAAGTTCACAAGATTTTTTTTGGTGCTGAGGTAATCCAGTGGGTTTTCATGACTGAGCGGACAATTGAACCCTGCTCTTCAGAGACATAGTCCAACAATCTACTACATACTGGCTCATAATTGTCAGCATAGTTCAGATATACTTTCTCTCACAAGCCCAGTTGGTGGGGACTCAAGAGAGGGCCTTCTCAGTGACTGCCTCTCAACACTAAACTCAACTCCGAACTCTCTGTCTAAGGAAGCCAGAATGGTTTCCTCCCTGCTGTCCTTCTGCTGGAAAGCTAAGACCTTTTCATTCAGGCAGGATTTAAAGATTTATTTTTTTTTTACAATTGAGTTGGGATGATTTTTGGTGGTGTTTTATATTTATGAAATAGTTTTTTAATTTATTTACTTATTTATTTACAGCATTTATAAATGGTTTTAATGGTTTTAACTTAATTGGTGTTTGGTTTAAATTCATTATAGGGTTCATAATGTTTAGGTTTTATATTGTATTGCTTTTAGAATTGTTTGCCACCTTAAATCTCTGTTAATAGAGAAAAATGGTATAATAACAACAATGACAATAACAAATGCACTGCAATGTTGGATCAGGTCCCTTTTGACTGACTGACTGATCACCAAATTGCTATGATGGAAAACCATTCTGTTACACTACGTAACACATTTTTTTATCCCTGGGTTATAAATGTAATTTCCTCATTGGTTCTCTCATAAAAGCATGGAAATGATTTATTAAACAGCAAAAACTTTGTTTTTGTGGAACATCCTGCAGCACATTTTACTATAGTTTTTCAGTGAATATCTCAAGTCTCAGCCAATTCAACATTGTTTGTTGCAGCCACAAAAATGAAGTTTCTGCAGTATAACAACTACTTTCAAAGTACTGTAAGTACCGCACAATTAAACAGGAATAACACTTTCAAACCAGGAACATTTTTTTCCAAATTTTGTTACATAGTGTTATAGTAAATGTCTCAGTTTCATTATTATTATTTTAGACACACTGAACCAAAATGCATTTGGAGTCTGAGCCTTCTTTCAAATTGAGACATGGTTCTGTCGAAAATCCCACTGTGCTATTCATAGGCAAGGAACTGTCATATCCTAAAATATTTGTTCACAACTGAAGGCTGCCGTGCCTTTGGCAGAACTGTGTGACATGAAACTCTGCAGATCTCAAGGGCTGAGTGTGTATCCCTTTAACTCTGATTCACAGGATGCTGTGACAATCTGCACCTTGGGAATTGGAACCGCTTTTGGAGAGTCGATTTTGGATAACACCCCTCGCCATGCTACTATTGTTACAAGGGAAAACAGTGAGCTGCTGCGAATTGAGCAGAAGGATTTCAAGGCACTTTGGGAGGTAAGCTGGAAAAAAACCCCTGCTTGATCAATGTTAACATTGTTAAGGGAGATGAACTGAAAGGGCAATGAGCCTAACTGTCCGTAGCACTGAGTGTCAGCAGTGCTTATACAATGAATGTATAGATAGAAAAGAATTCTAGGATTCTGGACGTATTTTTCAGAAAAATAGCTGGGTTTGTCTGTAACTTCAAAAACTTAAAAGACATGTCATGTCACACCTTTCTGTTTTCAAAGAATCACAATAGTTCTTTTTGTTTGAAAGAGAGATCCCTTCTCCCCGCTTACCAAATATACCCTTTTCCTGGCTAATAAAAGTTTAAAAAATGATTTTTATTTCTGTCCATGTGTTTTCTTTAGCTCGCTCCAGCATCCTTACTATTAAATGATCTTTTAGCTACTTGGAGTTGCTGTCTGCTTGCCAGGCTTTTCACTGCTATTTAGTCATACACTCCCAAAGATTTGGATGTTGCTAAATATTTGTAATGTTGTGGGCGAAATGTTGGCAACAGTTTGTAGAAGTTTAGCATTGGCAGCAGAATGAGGTTAACTCTGAAAAAAATATCTCATTTGTTTGCACATGGGTGACAAACTGTTGATGTTCTTGCTGTTTTTAATTAGTTGTGTTTTCGTGCCTCATAAGCCCCACTCATGTGTTCACATGCTAATCTAACAGACACTGGAGAGTAAAGACTTTCAGGGTTTGAAACTATGACCAAAGAAGAATGATTTGAACCCAGAAGGCATATTTCAGGCCTTCTATATACTATATGATCTGTACAGAGCTTAGAAATGATGTCCTAAAATTAATGTTGCTGCTTCTAATTCAACTATCAATAATTAATTTGAAATTAATTATTTTAACCATTAAATACCAACAATATTTAGGTTTTGGGTAGTTAATAATGTTAATTCTGCATATTATTTAAATGTGTTAATTTAGGGACAACTTTTGGGATATGTTGGTCATTTTAAACAAAAGTATATGCTCTTTAAAATTGGATGTTTTACTAGTTTACAATTTTTGTTAATGCTTAATATAACAAATTAATTCCATATATTTCTCACAATGTTTAAAACAGCAATAGATTACTTTTCCTTAACTGTTTAATATGGGCTACCCCACCTCCATCTCCTGGAAGGGACTTGGGGCAGCTTACAAGGGACATACCCAACAAATACAGATTAAAAACAAGCACAAAAATACAGTCGATATTTAAAAACAATAAAACTTTGTAATCAGACAAACAACATAAACCAATATCACAGCTGACAACAATAGTGCTAATGCTAACATTTTTAAACTTCCAGAGATTCTCCCCTCTCTCTGTGCCAGTGGCAAGTGAGGGTGGTGGAAGCCTAACAGCTTCCCTGCCATAGACCTGAGTTTCCCCTCTTTGTATGCTGTTGCCGGGCATCTTGAGGATGTCTCCTTGAGGGAGGTGCCCCTCTCGACACCGTTGGCCAATTATACTGCAAGGGTCTTACCTCTGGGGCCTCAGACCACCGTTCGGAGGAGGGGGATTTTGCCGCCCTAACTCAGTTGTCTCGGATGTCCCTCAGAGCCCTGAGTGGACACATCCTCCACCATGCTGCCATCAACCAGAAGTCTCACCTAAGTTAGCCACATACCTTGAGTGTGTTGGAACTGAAGCCAGTGGATAAAATAAGTCCCCAAAATGTGCTCTTCTACTTTATCTCTGATCCCTTCTGGCTTTCTCATTCCTTCATTCCTTCTTGGCTTTTTCTTCATGGTCTCTGTGAAATCGCACATATGGTAGTTTTCTGCGCCTGAGCAGCAAGTCTCAGAATCTTCTCGGAAGCTCTTTGGCTTTAAGGCTATAGCCCCGCCCACACTCCTCAAGTGATATATAGCCAGTGTGAGGGGCTGTAGCCTTAGTTCCTCCTGTCTGCCACCTTGGCAGCAAGCAAAGAATATCTCAAGATTGACTAGCTTACTTTGTGTTGACTTATGGACTGTTTGACTACTCTTTTGATACTCCTACTCTACTATGGTTTCAACTTGGACTGTGATCAACTCAGACCAGTAATGTGTACTCTTTGCTTTAAAAAGTGTGCATCCTGTGGCACCAAGTTGCCAGACTTTGTGCTTGAGGAAGGGGCACATTGTAAAGTTTTGTGAGGTATGACTTTCCTTTACACCATAGACCCAGAAAAATAGAGATTTGCAACTCTATGAGCTGGCCCTTCTTCCCACCCCAAGAAAGTGGGTGGCATAGAAGATGCCAGCTGCTGTGGGAAGCAGGATCCACTTATCAGTTGTTGCAAAGGTCTCCTCTTCATCAGCAGGAGCAGCCTCAGTGGGAACAAAGCACACAAAGTTGGCATCTGCAGCACACTGCCCAACAGCAGAGCATAATTGTAAAAAGAAGAAGAAACAAAGCTTCCATGTAGCCACTGGATGAGCTTTTACACCATTACTTCTGTCCGGAGAGAGAGACCAGTGCCCCTTCCCAGATGAGGCCATCTGGGCACTTTTTCCTACCAGAGGATTTGGGTGCTCTCCTGTACCCTCCCTCGGTGGAAGGACATGGTGTAAGGACACCTGTGCAGTGTCAGGCAACCATGCCCTCTTTATAAGATGGATGTAGCCTCCAGGAGAAACAAGACTTTGGGAGAGCCATTCTACTGTCGTCATGGTATGACACTCGCCATCCAAGGTCAATAGATTGCTGTTCTACCATATGTGCCATTTCACAGAAACCACGAAGAAGGAGGAATGGTTGCTTACTTGTAACCGTGTTTCTTTGAGTGCTCATCTGTGAAATTTGCACATCTCCAGCCATCCTCCTCACTATTGTCATGCTTCTCTTTGGCAGCCATAGCCAGTGAAGGAACTGAGGCTACAGTCCCTCACACAGGCTATATATCACCTGGGGAGTGTGGGTGGGGCTATAGCTTTAAGGCCAAAGAGCTTTCCAGAAGATTCTGAGACTTGCTGTGCAGGTGCAGGAAACTACCATATATGCAAATTTCACAGATAACCACTTGAAGAAATATGGTTACAGGTAAGCAACCATTCCTTCTCTGGCATCTTTTCCTGCCTCCTTCTTACTTAATAAACTGGGTTAGAGAAAAATTGTTCTTTTCAGGGGGTTGCTGAAAGAAGGCCAAGGGCTACATGTGATGATCCAGCTTAATCCTCAGATTGCTCACCCTCTTTTATAGTCTTGAGAAAAGTACTTATTTTATCTAGGGTTCCACAGAAATGACACAGTCTACCATTAGCTATAAAAGCAACTTGTGTTCCAAATAGTTATTGGGCAGTTCCTGGGGTTCCATATATTTTAGGACAGCAACTCGCTTCAGGCCTCTCTAGCATAGTCATTGTTGGCAGACATATGTGGCCCACTCTTGCTCTAAGATTAAAGGTATCCTAGAAGCAGATACTTATCACCCTGTGTCAAATGCTGCTCAGTTTTAGGGAAGCCAGCTGACATATAGGCAACAAAATGTCTGAGAGCATCTTCAGCCCCTGCAGAAGAAATCTGCTTTAATTATTTTATTGCTCCCATGGTACTGTTTTCATGGTGTTATGTTTTATTGTGATATGTTTTTATTTGGTTTGGTTTTGTTTTGTTTTTATTTTATTGCATTACGTTTTAACTCGGTGCTCTCTGGGCTTGTCCCTTTGTAAGCCACCCGAGTCCCTTTGGGGAGATGGAGGCGGGGTATAAAAATAAAGTTATTATAATATTATTATTATATATCTTGACCAATATTTTATGGAAATATTGGGGAAAGAGAATTGTGTTTGGGTTTCAAGCATACAGATATGCCAAGCACTTGATTTCCAAATCTTGTTTTTAAAATGTCATTTTGCAGTGTGGAAATAGTTTGTTTTTACTGATTCTATATTTTATTTGGTTTGAACCATCCAGATGCCGCCTTTACCCATGTCATTATTATGAACAAGAGTTGTCAATGTTTTAACGTCTTCTTAAATAAAAGGTTACTATTCTGGGTGAAAGTAGTTTAATTTCAAAATATGAATACAAATGAGAAGCCTTTAGTTTAAATTCCATACCCTCCAACCATCCTGATTTGGAAGGAAATCCTGCACAATCCTCTGTTGTTCTGCTTTTTTAGATACTTTTCATATGTCCCCGTTTATCTCTCCTTCCTCTTTAGCCCTTTGTCCTCACTCTCATTCAACTGCTACAAATTTCAAAAGTAGTTTTCATTTAATCAACTCGGAGGAGTTATACCTACCAGACATCATATCCCCCAGAGCACTGATCCATTACTTGTGCTGATATACACTTCACCTGTCAGCTTGGCCTGTTTCTGTACTTGGATTGGAGAGCCAGTTTTGTCCTTTGCCTTGAGTCCTATTTATGTCTTTGAGGGCTGCTGTCCTTTGCTTGATTCTTTTGCAAGGGGCAGTTAGCCTTTTGTTGGCAAATCGTGCTTTGCCATTGTACCCAAGCCAACCAACTTTTAATGTATAGCTAATTTCCCCCTTGTGGAGCCCCCCGGTAGCACAGTGGGTTAAACCGCTGAGCTGCTAAACTTGCTAACCGAAAGGTCACAGGTTCGAATCCGGGGAGCGGTGTGAGCTCCTGCTATTAGCTCCAGCTTCTGCCAACCTAGCAGTTCGAAAACATGCAAATGTGAGTAGATCAATAGGTACCACTCCGGCGGGAAGGTAACAGCGCTCCATGCAGTCATGCTGGCCACATGATCTTGGAGATGTCTATGGACAGTGCCGGCTCTTTGACTTAGAAATGATGAGCACCAACCCCCAGAGTCGGACACAACTAAAGTCAGGGGAAACCTTTACCTAGTTTCCCCCTCCCTGAGTTGCTACTCATTTTTGATGTTCAATCAAGACATCCAAAATTATCCTTCTGGCAGCAATTACTAACAACATTGGCTATTCCCCCCTCCTCAGCCTCTGATGACTACTTCTCTTCAAATAACGCCCTTTCCATGAACATGTGGACCGTTACATATCATGTTCTTCCTTAGAGACATCTA